TTTCTAGAATGTACTAGTTATCGGCTTCTCTCTTTCATCTGACATTCGCCTCGCATTTTCGCAACAATATATATCCTTCAGAAATGAGCTTTTTTAGCCCAGTGATTAGAAGTTTGTAATAAATGGTGAATCCAAACCTTTGAGAGAACAAGAAACAAAATGCAAATGTGCACTTGGAAAGGAGGCAAATGTGCCTAATCGGGACTATCATATGTAGGTTGAGGGCACTATGCACAAAATTCCAAATACGAACAACAGATGAAAAGGAGATGCCGATAACTAAAGCACATTTTAGAGTGTGAGAATAGAGTATTCCAGTACTAAGTACGAGCAATTGCTGAGGTATCTAAAAGAGCGGCCAATACAGTGATGAGTCCGGTACACAGTTAACTCGTTCGTGATAACACCATTGAAATGAAAATAGTGAAGTGTGAATGCTCTAATATAAATGGTGAATGGTTAAGCGAATTGTGTTTTATTGAGTAACAAATAAAATTTATTGTTTTGGTGATTGTAGACCTCCTAATACCGACGCTAAGCGTTTCGTAAAGAAAAGCCACCGGCTCTAGAGTAGGGCATACACATCCCAAAAATAGAAGCCATTCCTCCTAGGAATTAAAATCGGGTATAGGCACACAATCGCTTCAATGTTGCTGACCCGGATTTTATCCAGCCACGGGCTGTCCACCTCTCGGTGACCTAACCTCGTTTAGGTAAAAAGGTAATTAATAACGTGAATACCGTTTTTATTTAATTCATTTTTCCTATTAGGGGATCTGACATTCCTGGTCGTATGTTATGGTTGGTACGGGAGTATGTTATCTGAGGTGTTGTTAATATTTTCTTTCAAGCTGGTTAACCACGTGGCGGGTGCAAAACCCAGCGCACAGCCTCTCTAAGTGAGTGATTTAAATTTTTGTACTCTGGTAAACGATCCTACATTTATGTAGACTTCAACGAACCCATAAACCGTGTAATTCGGACTAGTAGATCCACTGAAGCTTTCTCTATGTTAGCCGTGTTCCAAGGTTTCACGGGTCTTTCACCGCATCTTGCACAAGGGTTACTCACGTTTCTAGGGTGCGCGTCATGTACGCAAGAGTACTAATTGCTATATTGCATTTTACCTCTATATAAACTAATTGTTTTAAAAATAACGCAGTGGAATTGTAGCGTAAGTAGCAGCAAAAGTATTCGTGTGTAAGCTCGGCCTGGCGGCTGTTAATAAAAATATCGATAATTTCGGTTCATACTTCTATCGTTCTATCACTACATTACCACTTACATAGTTAACAGAACGCAATATACCCGAATAGATAAATAAAAACACGTAGTATTTTGATGGTTACTAAACAATTGCGGATATGAATGGTTTTGATATATTACTACATGGCATTGGCACATAATACAATAATAAAATTTTTAAGACGCGAAGTTAACAATACTTTTCTTAAAAGTTGGGATAATTTGAACCTCGTAATGGTAGATACACTATTCAGCGTAGGTTCTTAATATGAAAAATAATTTCTGTACTTTATTTTAAATACAAAAGTTTATTCACTTTTGACATTCTCTACATGATTATTAAAATGCCTTAACGGAATTACTTTCGCAGCTTGAATTTGTAATATAAACGGGTATTTTAGTTTGTTTTTTATACTAATTTAGCTCTGAAGTGGTTATATTATATACATATTTATGTGATTCAAATAATTTATTGCAATTGTGACGTGTAAGTTAATCGTCTTTAGAAAAAATCGGTCTACAAGCCCCTATTACTTGATTATTTATTTACATATTAAAATACTCAACAAATCAGTCTGAAGTGATTTTGTCAAAACGCATATTCAATTTTATAAGATCTAAGTAAATTCCTTGTGTTTTATGAACGTTCGTTATATGGAGTTGCATACCTTCATATGTACTCTGATGTGCCTTTTCAAAAGCGGGGTAGTCAACTAAGCATATATTTTAGCAATAATAGAGGAAATAGAATTATTATTTAATTAAATCATGGCCTCGCAAAGCTTAGTTACGCTTCAACATAATAATTTTTTGATTGGGATGTTCGCCTTCGTGATTTTCGCGTCATTAGTCTTCAGTGAAAGTTTGCCGACACAAAATATGTCTCGGAAAGAACGTACCGAATTGCGGTAAGTCAAAATTATATAAGTGTTTCAATAAATGTTTTTAATAGCACTTCAATATTTATAATAGAAATGAAGCACGCGATATGTTCAACCACGCTTATACAGCTTACATGAATAATGCTTACCCTGCAGATGAACTGATGCCACTTTCCTGTAAAGGAAGATATCGCGGAATCACTCCTTCACGAGGAGACATGGATGATATTCTGGGAAAGTATGAACTTTTTGTCTTATGTTATCCTTTTTAAGTTAAACAAGAAAATCGTCTACTTATATACGTATCTAGAAAATTCGTGTATAGTAAGAACAGTTCCATACTTCGTATTTGTCTTATTCGAATCTTTTAGAAGTTTACTTGTTATAGCTTTTCTTTTTTGATACCCTGTGCTGTTCTAAGAAATATATCAGAAAGAAGGGAATATTTTTAATCCGCCTTATGCGGAAACCCTGTGCAAAGGAAATTTTCTGTTTTGTGAAATTATGTTTCTTCAGTTTATTGTTATAGATTTGTTTATTGAACTGCTCTAAGTTACGCCAGGTTACTCTGGTTTAAAAAATTGTCTCATGAAAACCTTTTTGCGCTATGTAATTCTGCTCTGATTTTGCGGGCAAAAATATGAGATGGGGATGGTCACGGGCCACAATAAACAACTTAAATACCTGTTATCCTAAACAAGGTTAGGTCGCCGAAAGGGCGACAGCCCTTGGATACACTCAATAGACATCTTATTGAAGCTGAACCTCCCCCTAGGCACATCAGAAAGGGAGTACTCGACATGAAGAACACCATCCAGAAATACGCGCAACAACCGCTGGACATGACGACTCAACTCTCACGACAGCCGGTTCTACGCACCGGAGTTGACCCGGATTTTATCCGGCCAAGGGCTGTCACCCTTTCGGAGACCTAACCCCGTTTAGGTCTACAGGTAACCTTAGTCTAAGTACGTCAACGGAGCAACACCTCGCAGCTGGGTTGCTCCAAATCCTTCTGATCAGGGCTGGTGTAGAAACCAACCCTGGACCGACGGATTACTTCTGCTGCGTGTGTCAAAGAAGACTCCACCATTCATCCACCTCGGTTAGATGCACCCAGTGCAATGGCTGGAGTCATCTTAAGACCTGCTCAGGCCTTAAGACCCACAGGGAATGGACCACAAGTTATGTGGCCCCATGCTGCCAGCGTCCAACCGCCCCCTCAGCCTCCACGGCAGTGCCTTCAGCACACATACCCACTCTGGGTAATCTGCAGACCTCCACGGTCTTACGGAGCTCCCCGCAGCATGATTCCCCCCAACCTCCACCCCCATCCCCACCCACAACCAGCTCCTCATCCTCCTCCCGTGCGAGGGCTACCCAGCAGCTCCTAGTC